TTATTTTCTTTGGATCACTCCGATACATTTTTAGAAATTCGTTCGATAGAGAATTTTTCATTCTACAAAACTGCTCGGTTTGTTTTTCAAAGAAGTTTCTATTATTGAAGCAAAATTTATAATATTAAGACTTACTCAATCATCTAACTGTAAACCGTCACAAAAAAAAACCGATTTGCAGAAATTTCAAAGATGCTATAAAATTTTGCACCTCTTAATATATGTTTCAGACTTTTGAAAGGAATATTTGCGAGAAAAGCTTTCAAAAAAGATAGAAAATCCTTGGCACAGAAACTCTTGTCTGACAGAACTATATGATCATTCTTTTGTAATTCGATACAATCTAATCATTTTTACTCTTCAACTTAACACTCATACTCTTTTGTTCAAAATTAACTTCTACATCTCACACTGCTAGAATGATTATTTCATATATCAAGTCTCGCTTTAGACAACATGTTTTTTTTTCCTAAAATACATAGAAAATTTTCATTAGATGTTAGTTTCAAGCCTTTTTTGCATAAAAAATAGCATAAGGGACTTTGAAAAGTTACTTTCTATCCATCGATACTAACTTTATCACTTTTTGAATTGATCTTGCTGAGTAAAGACTTATATAAATTAATAAATACTTGTAGAAAAGCGCAAATCATAGTTAAACGATTAAAGTAATTGTTTATATTTAAAATTTTGATTCAATAGGAAAAATTTATTTGAAAAACAAATGCAACAGCTATTGCAAAGCAAAGAATTCTCGTTTGAATAACTTTATGAAAATGTATCTGAGTGATCGAGACAAAAAAAGACAATAATTTTGTTCTATTTAATCTGTATTACTTGTTACAATAAAATAGCTCATCTGTTTAAAAAGAATTATGATGAATGACTACTTTGCTCTTCTCATTTGATTTGTAAATGACGATAATGCACGATAATATTGCTTGTTCATAATACATAATAGACGATAATATTGCTTGTTCATAATACATAATAAACGATAATATCTCAACAACAAAGAAACAGCTAACAACTTAAATAACAACGAAACTTGAACTATTGCTGAAGAAAAAGGGACAGAAAAAAATAATGATATAATCTAATCTAAATTTAAAAAAGCGAAGAAGTTTATTGTGGATAACCGTAGATAAATAACGATTATATGAGGTTCTATTGCGGAGTGATAACTTGAGGAGTTGATACACCCAATAATGAGGTTAATCGAGGAACTGAAGGTGTAGGTTCATTTGGAGTTGAGGATTTGTATTTAGGAAAAGCTAAACCAAAACGAGTTTCAATCCCTAGGAAAAAAAAAACGAACAACAAATTTCAATGAAAAAAAAAACTTCATTACATTTAATTTACCTTCAAATGTTGCTTGAGCTAAATGAAATCCACCAACATGATCAGGATTAGCTGAAAGTATAATTGATGAACGCATTTTTGGTGAATATTGTTCTCTATCAACATGTTTTGAGCCTTCTAATTTTCGACCTTGAAAATCAATATTTAATGCACGTTGAAGAAGTTCATAGGTAAGTAAAGTAAAACCAAATTGTGGTGATGAACGAAACATACGTGCACCAGCACCTATATTTAATCAAATTCAAGATTAAAGAAAACGATTAAAATTTTTCTTTCTTTTTTTTTTATACCTTTCCAAAATGCTGTCCATCCTTCTTCAACATAAATTTTTTTAAAAGCATCTATCAAACCATTATATTTTGTTTGACCTTTCCGTGCTTGTACTTGTAAACGTGTTTTAACAACATCAGCTGGTGTACATAGACCAGCAGCTGGTATACCAGCAAGTAGAGCTGATATAAATAAACTTTTTGCATCATTATAACCATGTTCATCAGCAAAACGCTTTTTAATATGAGCATAAGTAGGAAAATAAATAGCTGAAAACGGAATATCGCGAAGAAAACATGCGCGAGCACCTTTATATAAACCACGAAGGCCAAGTTCACGTACAACTTCACTTGCAGCTGGTGGACGAACTGACTGAATTTCACCAGCAACTTGTAAACGAATTTTAACGATTTCTAATGGATTTGTAAATGCTACCTGAAATTAAATGAAAATTCTTAAAATTAACTTTTTCATTCTGATGATTGTTACATAATAAGAAACTAAAGTAGAAATCTATGTGTTATTTTATAAGATAATATTTTTATCAATCTTTGATCAAGTTTAAAAACCGAGTACTTTTTAATATTTCCATACTTACAAAATGAACTCAGTTGTTTCTAGCTGATAGCTGCGAGACTCTAAGTTCATAGCTGTCTTTATAGAAGAAAGTCTTGATTTTTATGCTATGCAAAAAAATCGCTACTAGAATGTATGCAATAAAGGATATCATTAGTGATCCACAAAAATTCAAAACATAATGCAGTCAAGAAAAAAAAAATGATTTCTTTTTTTACGAAAGTAACGAGAAAAATCATTGAACAATAGTATGAAATCAATTTCCAACAGAATCCAGTCGCATTCTTCCTCTCCATCCAAACTTTATTTTCAAGTCTTTCAAATATTTGCTCATAACTCTTGACTTATGAATCTTTTTGAAATTCTAATTCTAGCCAAGAGTTTAATACATGCTATTGCCTCTCTTAATCAGTCTAAAATCTTTCGATACACATCCGTTACTTTCTATATCAAAATATAAAATTTTTATCGGTTTTTTATTCTTCCAAAGAAATATTTTCATACTTGAGATCCACCAGCACATCCACCAGCTATAATTTCAGCCCAAAGTGAAATTGTTCCATCAGGTGACATTAGCCGATCACGAATAAAATCATTGACTGTTAATTTAATAGCTTTTTCTGGTGCAACACCAAATAATTGAGGAATTAGACCTAAAATTTTTATTTCGAATTCATTGGTTTTTATTTTTTCTATTTTATCTTTACCTCGATATAAACCAAAAACACCTTCATATCGAATAACTTTTTTAAAACAATCAATTGAACTATGATAAAGACGTTCACCAATAATGCTTGTTCGTTGATTTTGCATACGAGTTTTAACTTTAAAAAAACAACAAGAAAAGAAATCAAGATTAGATATTAATATCTATTCCATAAAAACAAAAAAACATTTTTATACCAAGATCAATCGGATAAACAGCTGTTGCACCAACAGCACCAGCAATACTACCTAAATATATGAATTCTCAATAAAAAAAAAACAAAAACAAGTTATCTTTTATTACCAAGTCCAAAACGATAACCACTTTCAAGAACTTTCATAAAAACACCTTGATGTTCTATTTTATAATGTTCATCAACAATTTCAGATCTTAATCGATATGGTAATAAATGTTCATTAGCGGCTATTACATCCAAATCACTTAATTCAATATATTCTTTGTCAATTTCATGTCCAGCATGTGCTTTATGTAATTGATGTGTTATAGCAAATAAAATATCAATTTGTAATGGTGTTGTACGTGGAAAATGTTGAGCTTCAGTTAAAAATTCTTCTTTTGTTATCATTGATGATTTATATGTATGTGATTTTTTCTCAAGTTTAGCTAAAAAAATTTTTCTCATTGATTCAATATTTGATAGTAATTGTAAAAATGCTGCAAAATATGGATATGATATTTTATTAGGTGATGTTGTTGAGCATGATAATGTAACAATATCATTTAAATGTTTTGATATAAATTCAGCTAATTGATATTCTCGTAATTCAATAAGAATAGTTTCAAAACTTTTTAATGATATATAACCTTTATTTTCTTTATCAAATTTTCGAAATGTTTGTGTTGTTTGTTCATCAATAAAATCTTCGAAAAGAAAAATCAAATTAAATTTCTTATAGAAAATTTTTTATGTTTTTTTTTCTTGTTTATTTTTACCAAGTAAAATTTGTGTAAATTCTTTATATGTTATTTGTCGTTGTCGTTTAGCACCAAAATGTGTTGCAATAAAATCAGAATCAAAATTAAACGGAAATTCTTTAAATTTTTTTGTTGCTGATATAATATATTGAAAATCATCAAATGTAATAAAACCTTGACCCTGACGATCAAATAATTGAAATGCTAAACGATATAATGAATCTGATGCTAATAATAATGATTCAAACTTCTTAAATTTATTTATTGTAATTTCTATTTTGTATAAAGCAAAGAAAAAAGGCAATTTACTCAATAATTTATTTAGAGAAAATAATTAACAAACTTTGATCTTTATTTGAATCGACCAATGATGAAAGTATATTAAGTGTTGTTGGATCTATATTATCATCTTTTAAATAACCTAAATAATCTTGTAAAAATTCATGTGGGGTCATATAACGTTCACCATGATCTTCATGATGTGCATAACGATTAAATGCAGCCAATAATTGATCATCACCGGCTGATGAAATAGGTCGAGCTAAATAATAAAAATATATATTCTTATATGTAGAAAAAAAAATACTATTATAATTTACATTGCATGGGATCTTTTATATTTGGTGTCATTGTATTTTATTTGTTTGTATATATTTCAAACAATACAGAAATAGTCCATATAGCCCACCTACCGTAACACAATTAAACTGTAAGATGCAAAAATATTGATTGCATTGCCTCAAATAGGCACTACATGCTTATTACCGGGATTGAAGGAGCCATTAGATAAACCATGAAATTAAGCGACATCTATTAATTAGAAATTTCGTTAATGAGTATTTCATTTATGCTTTAACATTATCGTCAAAGAATATTGATAAAAAAATAGTCTATGTAAATGATGAAGAGATACCTTAACGCCATCTGTTATTGTAAACATTTTGTTTATCTTGATTGTAGACATTTGTAACCTAATTTTTTCGCCATTTTTTTTAATAGTAGAATTCTTCCTTATATTTACTTAAGATACTCTTTAACCTATTTTTTCTGGGTTCACGTTATCTTATGATAACTTGTTCTGTACCTATATTAACTCTCTAAAATTGTTATCTAAATTTTGTATTATTTAGTTCGTGTAGCAAAAAAAAGAATGGGCAAAGGTGGACATAATACAAGTATTGGTAGCGGTCATGATCAACATTTAGACACAACAACACTACCGACACAACATCGATTACCAACATTATCTGAAATAAAAGTTAAAATTCCGCCTCATTGTTTTCGCCCAACTGTTCTTCAATCAATGAGCTATGTTATTAAGGATATTATCTATGTTGCCCTAACATATTTTTTCATGTGTCAAATAGAGAAATTATTTAAATATGGATTTTTATTTTTTCCTATTTATTGGTGCGTACAAGGTATATTGATCTTTTGTTTTTTCCCTCTTTTTTTTTCAAAATAATTTATAATTCTATATAGGAACTCTTTATACATCATTATTTGTACTCGGACATGATTGTGGACATGGAAGTTTTAGTATCTATCCTTTATTAAACAATATTGTCGGTGTGTAAAATTTATATAGGAAAATATTTATGAAAATTATTTTTCTTCTTATTTAGGTACAATATTACATACATGGATATTAGCACCTTATTATACATGGAAGGTAAATCGTATAATTTTCATTGTGATTTTTATATCAAAACCACATCATTGATATGAATATATTGCAGAGAATTTAGAGAGTAATAATATATGGTATTTTTTAGAATTAATATCATCCATATTTTAATTACAAGATAAAAGACGGTTAGGTACTTAACGCTTCTAGGCTTAAAATCTTAATAAAATTTTTTTATATTGAAACATGACTTATCTAATATTTATTTTTATTCTAGCTTACACATAATAAACATCATAAAAATACAAATAATATGGATAAAGATGAAGTTTTCTATCCAAAACGTGGTATAAAATATCAGCCTTCATTTAGAGATGATATTTTCTTTTGGTTTCCTGGTCTTGGTTGGTTTTATTATTTAGTTTTTGGTTATACACCAAGAACAATAAATCATTTCAATCCAGTAAATCAATTTAATTTTTACCTAAAAATAAAAACGAATCATTTTCTATTTTATTTAAGTTTGAACCATTATTCTATAATAAACATTCACTCGGTGTTTGTCTTTCGCTTAGTACATATTTAGGAATGGTATGTTTCTCTTTTGTCTTTTTGTCAAATAAAAAAAATTTGTTTTTTAATTTCTAGTGTTATTTGATGTATCTCTATGCAAATTCTTTTGGTTTCATTAATTTATTAATTTATCATCTTATACCAGTATTCATATTTGCATGTTATATGGTTATTATAACTATGTTACATCATACAGAAATGTAATGTATTTGATTTAAAATTTTAATTTGTATTGAATACCAAGAATATTTGAAATTTTGTTTTATAAACAAAAAAAATTCGATTTTGACGCAGTTGAAATAACCGTCAATGTCTAATATAATTTACCGAATTTATTATAATTTTTCATGGCGTGTTTTCTATATCGTGATTTATTACAAAAGAATTCCCTAAGCTGCCAATGATCAAAAATATATTTTGTATGATTGCTCTGTCTTCAACCTATACAACTTACAAAAGACACGACAACGAAGTTATTAAAAAACGAGGATCTCTCGTTTTTTTTATCCACGAGAAATATATATACATCTTGATGATGTGTTGTATGATAAATATCGACGAAAGTTATTACTATTGAGAAAAATGCGTTTCAAAATTTTCATATGAATTAGTTGACCAAGAGATTGTATAACATAAACTGACAACTGGAGTTGCCAAATCATCCTGCATACAGGAAAGCATATCTGATCAATCTGATATACTATTAGCCTATTAAAGAGGGTAATACTCTATTTCAATAGTTGTTTCATTAGTGATTTTTCTAGAACTATTAAGGGGACTCCACTTTCCGGAATTTCTCGGAAACGACTCAACAAAAAATGATTAAACTTTTATAGAAAATAGATTTCGATAAGTAGGCCAAAAGTTGTCATAGGTTCAAAATTTTCCGATGCTTTCTTTAAGAAGATATGGGTATCGCAAAGACTAAAAGTCCTCTCATAAAATTCCATACTTCATTTTTTTATGACAACTAGGATCAAATCAGGGTGGATACTTTTTTTTTCTTTCAAAAATATCGTTCCTAAAGCTCAGCATAAGCAAAATACTGGAAGCACTGTCAAAAAAAGTGTTTTATACAGGCTGCTGAATTTTGTAGGAACAATATTTTCGAGGAAAAACACACATACACACTCCAATTTGGCCAAAGTACTCATAAAAAAAATTTGAGCCCGATCGATCGTATCGTATGAGAGGAAACTTCACTGTTTTATTCAAAAATTGATTTTGACAAAAACCCCAAACAAACTTTCCCGAATGTATCAAGAGTTTTTTTCTTCAACTAAAGTGATCAAAAGCTGACTGTGTTAGAGGTTCATGACCTATGCTCTCAGCATCTTTAAAAATTATGATTAGGAGAATTTCGCATACAAAGAATAATCGCAGAGCAAGTTTTCCTACTAGAGATTTCGAGAGTTCAGTTTAATAAAAGTACTAACTAACAATAAACAGTTCTCATTTATATGGTATTTGACAGAGGCTACTTCGAAGCTATACCAAAAATTGAAAAAATGTTGATGTCAAACATCCAGAAAGAGGAGTCTCCTTAAGGCTTGGACACATATTTCCTGAAATTTTCAGTCAGATCAGTTGTTCTAACAGGAGAATGAGCTTTAATGGTTTTCTTTTTATATATATAGTGATGTTCCTTGGTATGCAGATTCCGAATGGAATAACGTTAAAGGACAATTATCAACTGTTGATCGTCATTATAGTTATATTCATTCAGTAATTCATTCAATTGGTACACATCAAATTCATCATCTTTTTACAAAAGTACCACACTATCATTTAGGTATGAAATTATTATTATAAGTAGTTTTTGTATTTTTCTTTTTTGTTTTCTTTGTAGAAGAAGCAACGATACATTTTCGAAAAGCATTTCCTGATCTTGTTCGAATTAATGAAGAATCAATTTTAGTTTCATTTTCTCGTATGTGTAAAATCTTTACTAAACAACGATGTATTGATCAGGATGTACGAATATTTACATATTCGAATGATGAAATTGATAACAAGAAAAAAACTTCATAATCAATAAAAAAATAAAAAAATAATCAATTTCAAATATTACCTTGTTTTTCTCATCCATTGCAATTTATTCTATGAAAATCAAAGATGCCGGTAGAATATACAATAAAACATTACATTTAATGGTCACCTTTTTTTTTTTCGTAGATAGTGGGTTTGTACCTTTATTATGATTATTTTGTCCTTTTTTTGTGAAATGTCAAATAAATATATAAAAACATTTAAAAAAAAATAATCAACGACAAGGAAAAAATGTCGAGATTTGTACCATGCTGATAGAAAACATAACACAATGTTGCATACTTTGAACGAATACAGATCTTCAATGTGTAAAACAACAAAAATATTTTTACAAGTCATAATCTATGGCACGAAAGTCTTGCTACAATTTATGCACTCATTGTTTGACTACTCAAAGACAATTCATTAGAGTTAGTTGGAATCAGACTTTTTCCGCTCGTTCCAAATATGTATTCAGAAATTTCTCCTAGGAATAAGATTCAATAACTACTTGGAACATAACAAGATTAGTGATTTTGGCAAATAAAATCTCATAGGAAAGTGATAATCAAATATTTGAGTTAGTAGCTATATACAATCAAGTTATTTGAAGACATTTGTTGAAACTATTTTTCAAATAATTGTTGATTAAAAATTTCATCATCTTGGCTATGGTACTTCATGTTGTGATTAGAGGCCGTTTGATTGATCAAGTACATCAATTAGACCGAGCACCTGACAATGCGTAATACTGTATCGGTAAAATAAGGTGACTGTAGAATAATTATGATACATTCTAATGTAGGATAGGAAAAGCATCTTTACTAATATATTGTTGAGCGTTGTTATTATGACTTTCAATATGTTAAACACTAGCTGATGATCTTTGTTTTCTCATTCTTTTACTAAGTAATTTTAGCGAATTATTGATATTATATTGGTGATTCGAAGTCTTCCTTCTTTCTGAATATGTCAGTTTCTTAAAAAGTTTCAGCATAGACTCTATGGTACGAACTGCATGTATGATGAGATTTTCAGCAAGATTGGACTCCAAAAAAAAAAGTATTCTTGAAATCTGGATTTCTAGAGATTCTGAAGAACGATTTGTAATTCTCTTTTAACTTCTCATTCGGTTATAAGAGCATTTTTTTCGCACTCTATTGTGTCACTAACGAAAACAGGAGTCCACAAAAAAAAAATTATCTCGTTTAACGTTTTGCTTTGAAATACATCAGAGTCTTCAGTCCCTTTAGTCTCTTTAATCCTTTTAATACCTTTAGTGACTCACACTCCAAGGTACTAAAAGGACCTAGTGAGACCTAAAGGTACTAAAAGTATTAAAGGATCTAAAGGACTAAAGAAATTAAAAGAACTAAAGGTACTGAGTATACTCAAATATTCTAAAATATCCATCAGGTATATAAGCATAGAAGTTAAACGGGACAAAATTATTTTTTCGTGAACTTATGAACGAAAAGTAAATCAGTTTTTTTGGAGAAATCTAGGCATGCTCATAAAAAAACCTTTAGATAGAGATTTTATAGTCTCAGGAATTATCTACAGAATGTACTATTTAGTTTTGTCTCAATTCAGACTTTTTTAAAACTAAAATATGTGAAGTGAAAATCGATGTTCTTTTTGTCGCACATCACTAACGCTAGTTTTTTACTGATAACTCCTTTGAACAATAGTCTCTAGCACTGATTTTGTTTTCAGGATATCTAAAGTAACTTAACATACATGTATAACTTTTGTTGCTCTATTAAACTGTGTGAAAATTACGGTGAAATCTTTAATTTAAAAAGTTTTTGCAAATTGTACACCAGTAAGTGGTTCATAAAAAAAACAAAACATGTGAAGATTATAACTCTGTTAAAACAAGCCAGCTCTTTGAAAAAAATTTTCGGATCTATGCAGTTTCAACTCTTGTAGAAATTGTACTAAATCTCAGTGCATTTTCTCTAGTTTTTTAATCATAAAAACGATTTCCTCTTATACCTCAAGAAATATTTGGAAATAACAATTTTGAAGTAAAACAAGCGAAATCATCAGAAAAAGTTCTTTTTTTCTGGTAGACCTATGGCATTATTATTTTTTAATTCAAAACAATCGAAATATTTTTGCAGTTCAATTTTATCTTTATATAGTTTTTTTCAGAATTAAGTTCTAGATCCGATAGTATAATAACAAATGTTTCATAGAGTAAGTCTAGCTTTTGAAAACATGATTTTCTAAAGTGCACTTAAACATACCGATAGTTGTCAGTTCTAGATCTTTTTCTTGTAAACGCCAGCCTCAGGAACCTTGAAAGGATAATATAATTTCTCTCGTTCCAGGCATCAGTGTATCGAATCAAACTATATATATATATATATATATATATATATCTTAGTTCCATCAACACTAATTAAGTTTACAATTATATGAGTCTCAAGATACTGTCCTTGGACAACAACAAACATTAATCGAAGAGAGAACAACAAGACTTTTTTTCATTCTCTGTAAGATTTTTAATATAAATTCTTCGTTTGACAATTTTAACATGATTCAATAGTAAGAAATAAAAATCAGTGTGCATGTTTTTTTTTTCTAATTTTTATTTTTATTATTGTGAATTCGATAATAAAATTAGAAGATCACTCTTATATCAATATCAACTTTTTCTACTCATTTATCTTTTGTTGTTTTGTTGTTATTGAAAAACGTAATAAAAAGAAAATTGAAAGACTGTTTAAAATAAAATTTCATTTGTATTTTATTTAGAACCGAGTAGATTTTAAACCATCATTATTAACAGTTGAATGCCATGGAACAACTGATTCATCTGCATACATACTTGATGAACGAAAAATACGCTAAATTTATAAAGATTTTAAGATATTGATTTTGTTTCAAAAAAAAAAATGATACCTGCATTGGTCTATTTGAATTATTTTTATTTAAATAATGCTATATGAAAAACATAATTAAAAATTATTTAAGATATAAAATTGAAAATAATTACTTGTGCTCTTGGACTTTGACTAAAATTATGATCATTATATTTAATCAATTTTGTTAATGGTACTGAAGGTGACGTTGAAAATAATGATGGACTTCGATAAAGTTTTGCTTGAGATGGACGTATATCTTTTTGTGATTTATCAACTCGTAATCTAAATAAAAAGAATTAAAAATTTTCAAATAAATTTCTTTTTTTTACCTAGCACCAAATTCTACAGATGAATCATGTGGTAATAATGGAGAATCATTAACACCTAGAAGTGATTTACTTGTACTGTGCCAATTCTAAAATTTTTCAAAAATATTTAATCACTTTTTTTTGTAAATTCTTACTAGTCCAGCAAATTCAAGAAATGATTCATCTCTTTTAGGATCAAAATTTTGAAATTGTGCTAGAAAACAAACACAAAAAACAAAAAAGAAAATAATTAATAATATATTTTTATGTTTTACTTTCACAAAATGAAGTTGTTTGACGAGAATGTTCATCTGGTAAACGACATAAACTATCATTACGTTCTATACGTCGAATAGATGGTACTTTTTGAATATATGATTGTTTTTTAACTGATTTTAATTCTATTCGTTGTTTTTGAAATCTATTTTATAAAATTTTTCTTTTTCTTGTCTATGTCATTCATATTTATTCTTAAATAATTTACCCAGAAAATATTTTTGGTTCAATATAACGACCTTGTGTAGACAGATGTTGATATTCATTCCAATCGTTTTTAACTAGACTATTATTTAATCTATAAAATACTTGTATTAAGAAAATAAACCGATATAGTTTTGTTCTTTTTTTTACTTAGAAGTATTATTTGATGGAATAGATATAAGTTGATTCATTATTTTCTTGAATTCAATTCAATTCAATATATTCATTTAATTATAAATCATGCCATAAATCTAGAGCAAAAAAATCAAAATGAAATATAAATTATTTCACTGTCTGAATGAAACATCTGAAGAAGAAAAAAAATCAATTACAGCGTGATGAAGAAAAAAAAACGGATGTGAAGTGTTTGAATGCTGTGTTCTACCATTATTTTTTTGTCATCAACTAAGTTATTTCGTTCTGCACCACTACTATACTATAACAACACTTGTACAAAATTACATTGAAAATAATGTAACGATGTTGTGCAGTACAAAATATTTTATCACAATATTTTTTTTTGTTGTTGTTGTTGTTTTTTTGAAGTCAAACACATATTTTATTAAATGAATGCAATGTTTGAATAAAGAACATTTTTAACAAGTTTTTTTTTTGGAAACATTATATAAAGTAAATTTTATGGATTAGTCTTGCTAATTATTTTAAAAATATATTATTCTTGATGCTAGAATTTAGCTAAAAACAATCGATTAGTTATTGGCAAAAGCTCTGGAAAAGTTGAAATCATATTGTTCAATGATACTATTGAATGTAAAAGTAATAAGATCAGCTCTTTAAAATGTATGGCAAAAGATTTTTTATCAGGATTTTCTTTAGATAATATATATCAGTCTTGTTAACGAAATGGTTGATTCCTTCGATTTCTTGTTTGTATTTGCTAAAGATGTAATCATACCTAATTGTACTACTTCTGTAATAGAATAAATAAAAATCCTAGACAAAATATAACAATGAAAATAAATATGAATTCATCATCAATTGTCAATAGTCTATCATTATTTTTAAATCAATGTTGGTTACAACCTTCATTTTCATTTTGATGTCTATCACATAGAAAACTAGTTTTTCAATAGTAATTTATGAATCTTTTCATTGAAATAATGTATTTTTAACACATCTTTTTTTTTCTCTATTCCATCATCCTGACTGGATTGACTTTGCTCAATGGAATAAATAGAAACAGAAAAAAATTGCCAAGAATATGTGATTCTTCTTCTCATATTTTTTTTGTCTTATAAAAATGAACTGCAATATTTTGAGTTTTTATCAACCATGGGTGAATCAAAACTTTTTAAGTGTAATTATACATCATTTAAAGAAATTCCTAATGAAATTTTTCTTGCATTTTTTTGTTTTGTTTATTTAAACAATGTAGATATTATCTATGTCTTTTCATAACTAAACACTCATTTTCAATATTTACTTAATAATAATGTTAATTAATTAGATTTTAAATCAGTGGAACTAAATTTGATTGTGTTATTCGATAATACATAATATTCATCAATGGAAATCATCACGTCTTTCTTATAATAATATTACACTAGAACAAATAAGGTTCTTTTATTAATTATTTCCTTTAGTTGAATATATCTTTCACTTACAAATATTTCATATTTTAAATATAAAACCTAAATCTGTACAAGAATTTCTATCACAATTTATAACATGTAATCAACTTGTTTCATTATCAATTGGAAAAATTTATAGAAAACCTATCCCACCAATTGAATTAACCTACCTCCGTCTCACAAAAAAAGCTTTTAGCGCAATCTCTATGGGATTAAAATATGAAACACGATGTAGCTGCTCTTGCTAATCAAGGAAAATTGCTTTATTTAATCTATTTTGGAACATATTTCTTCGCCATCATTTCATTTCATTTTCCAGAAACACCACAAGAAAGTAGCTCATATATTAGAACGAAACCTTATTTCCATATACGGTCTACCATTGTATATCAACAACGTATATTACGGTCTGTCAGAGAGAGGAGGGAGTTCAAATTTTTACCCTTATTCTTTAACGCTTCTTTTATATTGTATTTCATCGAAGGTTATCAATAAGAAAAATTTCATAAGGCGTAATAGAAGGCCATGAGTTTTCCAAAGCCTTTTTCGAAAATTCAGCGAATTTTAGTATCTTAAACCTGGTTTTTGAGAAAAATGCCATTTTTTTAAATGAAAATTCTTTTTTTTTTCTAGTAAGAAAGTGTTTATCTTAGCAAAAGATTCTAGTTTTCTGGCGCTTATCTGCTAAAAATGCCTGTTTGAGTATTAGAAGAGTTTTTAAAAACCATTGATTTTCTAGGTAAATGTTAGCGAGAAATGGAAGATCCCGTTTGAAAGAACGATGTGAATTTCTATAATAGAAGGCCTTGGTCTTTTATTCTGGGAAGAGAGGTTACCATCATTTAAACGACTCGTGATTAGTTCATATCTACATATTATTTGAATGATAGTATAAATATTTGAATTCATTTGACAGTTGATGATAATCATTTTATAATAGAATCTGTATTTTCTTCAAAATCTTGAATACACGGCTAATTACAACTGCCATCGTGACGATATTTTAACTTGTCAACAATATGAAAACGATTTAAAAATCTTTATGAAAAGAAAAGGATGGAAATATTCTGTGGACTTCAATATGTCAAATACCACAGTTAACAAAACTTTCTTTAGATGATAGCGGAAGTCACATTCCATCACCCGATGGTGAAAATTGAAAAGAACTTATTCATGCATCATTAAGATTCTTGAAAATTTTTCAATTTTATTTTTTCATTTTATTGTTATATGAATACATTGAATGACATATATCAAGTTATAACATTGTTTTCTACTCCGTTCTATTTATTTGAGAAACATTGATTTATTTGTTACTACTCTAACTATTGGTTTTTATAATCTTTATCTTTTGCATTTTCATAAATGTCTATTGATAAACGTTCGTTTGATACAGTTTTATCGATTTCCATTGTCATTAACATTCACAAAATGAAGAATAATTCATGTACAAAAACAAAACAATCCTAGTATTAAATGGCACATGTCAAATACTTGGTCCCGATTTTTTTTTACATTCAATATTGAATAATTGCTTCTTAACGATAGTCTTTCCACAAACTGGCTTTTTTTGATTGGTACACTTATGTTATTTAGACATAGGAAGCTATGTGAATACGTCATTCACTGAATTCGCTCGTTTGCTTCTGTATTCATATTTTTATTGAAAAATGTGAACGTTGATTGTTAGTGTTGATAGCATATTCCAAATTGATTCGTTCGATTTTGTTAGATATGAGACTATAGGCTACTGAGCTGAAAATTTTTGAAGCTGGATCCGATGTGGAACCAAGCCGATGGGTTCTATATGAGACAATTAACAGGTGCGGCAGAAAAAAAAGGGCTTCTCAATATTTTCTTAACATTTCTGCTATTTCCTATCGGTTCGAACTGAATTCTGCTCCAAAAGGTGTAGTATGAGAGTGTCTAAAAAACCATCACTTACAAGATTCTACCTGACAGTCACATTTAATAATTTTCTCAACAAATATTTTTCGTGCGAAATGCTCATTTCTTTTTTCTTCAGATTTAAGAGTAAAACACGTCTTTGTACCTCCACGAATTTGTGTTCTCAAATAGACGCTTGCTACTCTTTTAGTATACACTTATTAGCTGATGATTCAGTGTAGGACAATTTAGATGAATTATGCCTAAATGCTTTTTTTTTACTCTTGATCAAGGGCAAGCCACAAGAGAAAATCTAGTTAACATGGGTCTTAGTATCCACGGAATAGCCTTGTTTTCAATAGTTATTAAAGTGATCTTATCTATCGTATATGACGCTACTTTAGCAATTGTTTATTAACCATAAAAAAACAGAATATAATGTTGCGAACTTGTATTTGAAAGTTGCTAGCAATATATTGTCTCAATAATTGTCAAATAATTTTTTTTACTTCTATCTTTTCAAATCACAGTTTCCTGTGATTTTCATGTTGCATTGTTTGAAAAAAGTTCAGTTCAAAACGACAATAAATGGCACACATGTTGAGAAAATATTGGAAGATTCATTCATTGTACACGATAAATTTTAAATAGAATCGGTTTTCTAGAAAATCGTGTTAGCAAAAATTCAAACTTTGTCAAATTATTATTAATCATCGAATCATATTATAATTTTCAGAAAAAAATTATTTTCGAACGAATAGGAAAATCAATCTAGATTCTACAAAAAAGGAAAAATCAACATTACTTTTTGAAAAATCATTTAGATAGTGACAACTATAGTATCATTGTTTAGTAGCATATATAAGGCAATCGACAGTGTTGAGAATTCATTTTTCTCCGGCAGTTGCATCAAGTATGCTAATTACTTGAAGTGCAGCTATCGCATACTAGTCCGTCATATGACAACGAAAACAAGTAATAAATTATTTTTTTTTGTTGGTCATGAGAGATAGTTAATATCATTTTTTTTTCTGTTTTTCAACTATACGCTGTCCCTCATGTATGTTCCTTGAGTTCAAAGTTGATTGTTCACTGTGAGACATTTTTCTTATAGTAAAAGAGTTCATTTCGTATAATTACACTTCCTCTAGAACTTCTGCATATTTAATTAAGTAAATAAGAGCAATTTCCCAGCAGCTACGACGTTAATTTTGTAATAAAACTACAGTTTTCTGTCAATATATTCATACAAAAATCTTTGTAAGATAATTATGTTTTCTTTTTGCTATTGTTAAAGAACAATATCTCAAGTAATGCTTCATTTTATAGACGCTTTTGACCTATAAGCAGAGTAAAGATTATAAGTAAAATCGGTATAGAGATGAACGAACAATTTATTGCAAAGATGAAAAGTGATAATAGATATTCTATTTTCTGGAAAATTTTCAAAAGGTGAAATCGAGTTCTATATCCTAGAAATGTTCACATGAATATGATTGTGATTTTCTAACTAGAAAATCAAAACTTGGATTTTGAACTTTCTAGAATATCTGCATAATTCAAGAAAATGGAAAATTCATTGTCGAATTCGTAGAATATCGTTTTCTGTTCTCTATAACTTATTTTCTATTTTACAGTGTGCCTCATCCGATACGTTGTTTGCATATATTTGATGTGTTTGTTGGTGTTATACAGATGAAGTAGTATTCAACAACTTTAATACAATTAACTTTGTCTTATTTTATTAGAGAAATCATTGGAAAAATTATTAAATTTTGTTCATCATTTAGATTTTTCCTATTTATGACAGATATTATTCATGTTATTCGTAAAGAAATTTTATATCTCGTTTTTCTTTTCTATTGGAAAAACGACTTATAACAAATAAAATCTATTGTTAATCCTTGTTTTATTTCTATATAAATAATACAATCAATCTTATATGAATACGAATGCAGATACAAGAAACAACAGCATAATTTCTTTCTTAAAATGTTTCATTAATAAATTCGTCATGACAAGATAAGAAAAATCTATGTGCATGTGTTTTTTTTGAACAGAAATTGCACAAAGAGAAAAAACCGCATAGCAAATAAAGAAGTTATAATAGCTTATCAAACGCTTTTTTTCTTTAGTATACAAATGAGAAACTAATCAAAAGAAAAAAAACTTATACAAAAAAAACACACATTAATCCAAGTCGATAGAATAATACATAAATATAAAAGAAGATACTGTGTAATTACAAGACAAATTACTAGATATTAGGAAGCATTAGTGGTATTTCAAATAAACATGATAGGATTTATGCTATTTTGAGATAAGAACTTTCAGTCTATATCGAAAACAACAAAATTGAGTATTTAATTTCAGTAATTATACGGTTTCTAATATTTATCAACAATATTTTCTGAATAAATAACATGTCGTCTAAAAAATTAGATGGAATGTTAATCTGTCACAAGTAATGTAAATATATAAATGACATGTTTTACTTGAATGATAAAGCTGGTAGAGATAAATAGATAGACGAAAATACAGATAATTCTTATATATAATAGTACCAATTACATATCGGAATTGAAATTAGAAGTAGAAAAAAATAAGCCTATCACTCACTAAATAATCGAAGTTATTGATTTTTCTAAAAGATCCTTAGATTTATTACATGCATGACGTTTAAGAAAAATCAATAAAAATTTCTATTATTAGCTAAGTTCATATCTTTTCATACCTATTGATTAAATGAAATAATTTATATAGATTCTATTAATAATTCTTATTCATTACTTTATTTATCTTAATTCTCGAGTCACACAAGCCAGATGTTTAATAACAATAGAAAGAAAATCAATGATAGTGGAGATAAGTAAGGTCATAATAAATATCTTAGTGAGAACGAAATAAAAATGAATTATCGTAATCAGTGTTCTATAGAATCGCTCATTCTATTTATGATGAAAAGAGAAAAAACACATTACGTGATCGAGTGATAATGATCTAATGTAACAGCCACGTTATTTCCTCGAATAGATACTGATCGAAGTTACCGATGTGATTTCTTTTTTCCTATCAAATAGAACGAGCCAGTCTAGAGAATTTTTACATCATCCTAAGCTTATTGTACCATATAATAATTTGTTTTTTTTTATTGATTTTCAGACCACAGTATCAACTATCTACAAAAAATACATTTCTTTTTTGTAAAAAAAAACTAATTAAAACAAAAATCAAAAACATTCGAAATATGTTTAACAAATATATCTTTATTTTTAGATTAAAAGTTGTTATTGATGATTATCAATTGTTGTCGTCATCGTTATTATTTTATTATCCTGATATCTTTTTGTTTTTGTTTATTCTTTTTACTAAAAAATGATTTATCACTTAAACAATTTTTATATAATCAAACAAATTTTGATTGTTGTGATTATCCATTATTATAGAATGGTGTCAAAATCAAATTCATATATGTAATTCATCAGTGATTATTTTTAATAAATTATTTATAAAAACTCATTCAATAATTTTACAAACAAAATTTGCTAAAGGAAAACGAAATGGAGGTAAAGATCTTAATAAAGTTTTAAAACAAAATGAAAATGATGAATATTTTCATTTTGAAAAAGATTTTATTCAAGTAATTTATTTATTAATTTCAAATCAAACAAAAAAAACAAATGATACTTTCATATTTTAGTTTTCGTGTAATATTTTATTACCAATAGAAATACTTCCAAATAGTCATTTGTCTGATATATTTTCTTCAGTTACATTATATCATACATGGCAAAATTTATCTATAATCAATGAAACAACTATAGCTGTCAATCGCTATGATTATACTAATTTTTATCATACTATAACTGATCTTTATACAGTTTATCTTTTATGTCGATTTTTTTCGTCATGATCCAAAATCTGTTCATATACTTTTTCTTGATACTCATCCGAAAGGTAATTTAGAGGTATTATGGTTACAATTATTTCATTCATATATTCGTTTGGGACATTTAAATATTTCTTCGATATTTTATAAAGAATTAATCTGGTCACCATCACAAGCACAATCTGAATTAGATTTAAAACAATCTCGACAAAAAGCACCAAGTTATTTTTTTGATTTTCGTCAATATATTCTTGAAAAATTTAATATTATTTATTCTAGAATAAATAAAAATTTTAATTATCAAAATTTAAATATATTTTTTCTTGTTCGTCATAATTATATTGCACATCCAAGAAACCCAACAGGAGAAATAAAACGACAATTAATAAATGAAAACCAAATTCTTAATGAATTAATACTTAAATTTCAAAATTTTTCATCTATTCATTTTACTTTTAATCATTTCGAACAATTATCTATGCAACAACAATTATCAATTATTATACAAACAGACATTTTTATTGGTATGCATGGTGCTAGTTTAACAGATGTTCTTTTTATGAAATCAAATCGTGCTCTTATTCAATTTGCTACAACTGCTTGGCAAAAACAAACACATTTCGAACAAATGGCTTTGATTAATAATATTAATTATCATCGCTGTTTAATTCTTAATGGACATTCAACAACAGCACAAACTATATTTAATTGTTAAACAAAAACACTTTTGTAAATGTGTCCTTCATTTGAATTATCAATGAATACTATTCCTTGATTGATTATAAAAAAAAGAACCGATGTAAAACATAGAAATTTATGTTATAACAATAGAGTATTAGTTTAGGTATTTCATGGAATTTAAAACATGGTTATTTGTTTAAGGAATTTGTTATCTTGAGAATTATGTATGATTCACTACATTCATATATTTACTCGATCTACAATAGAAACATCTACTTTTGCTGTCATAGTACAAATTCATATATTCTTATTCCATTTAGCATATTATTCTCAAGAAAAAAAATAGATTATATCAACAATAGGATTCTTAGTATCTCTTACTTGCATCAGATGATAAACGTTTTTTGAATATTACGAAATTGCTCTTTATTATCAATTAGTAAGAAAAAAAATGCGTTGGCCTTAGAAAGAGATAACATGATATGAAGTGGGTTCTCCCTTTTTTTTTGTCTTGCTGGCATTCAACAAAACTATATCAGACAAAGCTAATTCGAAGCAAAAAAAAGATAAACCTTAACATTTGTACATAGATAAATAGCCAAAAATAGAAGAAGTAATTAAATAAAGGCGATAATAACAACAGTAATGATATTGGCATACATAAATTAAATGAATGTCTTTGTGTCAACGTCTGGAACTATCAGTGATAATGAGGTCATAATTATTGATTTATGTTATTTGTTTTTCTTTTCAAATAATGATAGTAAATATATTTGATTCAAGAAATATTTCAATAATTATATATAGAAACACATATGTTTGTTCATAAATATGTCCTCCAGATTATATTCTTATTTGTTGTATAAGAGTTTATATGTTGTGTAATATGAGACAATAGCTTTTTTCTTTTGTATATAGAAAATGTGATATCTGTGTCATTGATATTAGCTATTGTACACATACTTTGATGATGGGCATTATCAGTACGTTTTTCTGTTATCTATTGCCTGCTGGGCTTGTTCCTATGACATTGATTGATGACCCACTAGAAAGACATAATAATCTTAGGAGGAAAATTTTCTATATGGACCGCTAAGTATATGTCCATATATTGAGTATATTCTATTCAAATATTAATTATGTATTTCAAAACAAAAAAAAACTATAAACGTGGTCTTCTATATAAATATATATATGTAGAATGTATTATTGCTTATGTTCTATGCTCATTTTATCAATAGAGGTCATGAACAAATGGCAATAATTATCTTTCATGAATTGTGCTAAGCAAATGCGTTAGTTTTTCTCATATATATCTAGATGTTTAAGGACATAGGCAATAGTCCAAGTAAATAATTCATCATGATGGAAACAAGGACAATTGTAATATCTTATGAGATAGAATGATTTAGAAATACCAAAGTTATACTATTTGACTGATGAGAGGTGAAAGAAGAAGGTTATTAATGGATTTTATATTTTCTTTTCATCAGTGACATTCATAATTTTCTTTTGTATATAAAAACTTTGTTTAGGTAAGTAAATCTATATTTATCTCTATGATCAAAGTCTATATAAATTCGAGCTAATCAATAACAAAGCTGAATAGAAGCAGTATAAAATACTTGTTTTCGTTGTGCGGTTAAAGACAACGAGAGAAATGAAAAAAAAACCGTTCCAGTGACCGAACAGTAAGATTTGTGTTTTTGAATTCTGACCTATATATGCCTCGACCATTAAATAAGAATCAAATTTTTGACTGAAAGAATATATTGATATAGACAATAAAAACAAAAGAAAATGAATTTCTATTACTCCTTATTATGTCTTTCTGCAATAAGCATTTACAATTGACACTCTTTTCCCTTTTTTTCTGTATTAATGGATTATCTTCGTCGTTTTTTGAAACTTCTCTATGTCAAAAGAAATTGACACGTCAGACATTCCTCATGATTTTGAGAAAATTATGTATTTTATTGACTTGTCCATAATTAATATATACATAACAGATAATTTGTTATTTGAGTAAATGAATAAATTAAGTATTTTTTTCTTTTGTTTTATCGAGATCATAATACAATTTTTTAATGTCTTTCTGTTTCTATATGCTTCATTTTTTTTCATTTGTTTATTGGTTATGCTTGTGTTCTTCACCTTATTAAGTGTTAATGTTATTCTTATTGCTAAATGTATATTTTCTGTCGTCTTAAAAAGAAAAATCTCGAAGGAAAAAGATCGAAGAAGAAGACGAATGTTAGTGTTGATATTATGTATCCATAACTAATACTTATGCAATAGCTTTTCTTCGATTTGATTGGACCAAGGGACTACCCTTATCTTTTTTTTTCTTCCGGCATAATGATGAGAGACAAAGGTAATGATCGATTTCTACTTTCCGAAAAAAAGCGCTACTAAATTTTTCTCTACACAAATATATATATGTGTGATATTGATCATACTCAGAATTTTCAGCCAACATAATACCTTCATATTGTTACTTTGTTATTATTGCATATATATGCACGTGTATGTCTAAGTACAGATAACTCTATAAATATATTTTCTTAATAGTAATGTAGTTACCATATTGTGAAATACAAACTAGTCGCAACTTATAGTAATATATCATTTTTTTTTGGTTAACTTATTATTGGTAAGAGAAAAAGAGAGAGGGAGGGAGAGAGAGAGAGAAATAAAGAAAAAGATGCTACTCTTGCGGTCTGCGGTGGTAGCATTAGTGGTTATACCAATCATTACTCAATATATCGTTGTAAAGAGAAAGAATAACAACGTTACCGGACGGTTATTCGGCTCTTTTTTTCTAGCTTATAGCGTACTAACTGCTCCTATGTGGTCGTCGAGTTTGTTTCTAGTATTATCAGGCAAGAAAAAAATTATTTATCTAAGCTCGACGAACGATAGACATGGCTCATAGCGTATATGCTACTTGTTTGCGTTTATCTTCGAGAAAGACAGTCGTATATATTCTGCGTTTATGTCTCTTTTTTATCCGAGAGCAAAAGAGTAAAGTAAGCTATTCAATATAATAGAGATGGGAGTAAAAAGTTTTTCAAAAAAAGAAAACAAAACTTTTCTATATTTTTTTGTTGTTTTGTACATTGATAGTTATCTAAACTTGTATACACTATGTCTTAGAGTTGTCACTATATAATTTGTACGTGCTTATGTTAAATTTTGTGATTGATCTGGGAAATGATATATCTTCGAAGTACAATTATTTATATTTGGGATGAATCTTATGATAGCGAATATTTTTTCTTCTTGTTTTGATAAATGAGTTAGATAGTTAGACTTACATCATGATAAGATATAAAGATCAAATCGTTTTTCTTTCTATTATGTATTAGATGAGATGACGAAGATAATCAATATATGTATATATATATATATATATATTTATTTATTTATTTATTTATTTATTTGTGTGCGTGTGTAAAATATTGATTATTTTCTTGTATTTAAATTTTAGTTTTCAGATATAAGTCTCTTAGTCGTTTTTTCCACTTGTCAATCCTATTGTTCCGGGGATGGACGCCAAGATTATCACAGGTTTTATCCTATGGTTTTGTTTTATTTCAAGCATATTGATATCTCAAGTAAGATATTTATTGATAAATATTATGTATTCATTATGAAAATTTTCATACTAGATTGAATCCTCCACACTCAATTCAAGGCAAAGGTTTAGACGACAAAATGATGAAAGTAAGTTGATCGCAATTAAATAATTGCGTATTTTTTCTTCTTTACCCTTGTTTAACCATTAATTCTTTCATCCTTTCTTTTTGCTACCTACATTCTCCCGCGATTAGGTATTACTTGTCCGGAAGGAACTAAGCCTTGTAAAGATGATAACAAAATGTGTGTTGCCTATTGTGATGGAAATCCCCAATGTGTTGATGGTTCCGATGAGCTCGATTGTAGTAAGTATATTATGAATGATCATCATCATCAAGGAATCAATTCTTTACTTCAAAAATTCCTTCACCTTCAGCTACGAGTATTCCTGCTACATCTTCTGACAGTATTGCTTTTGCTCAAAGTACAGAATCGAGTGGTAATGAAAACAAACATGTCAATATACTTGACGGAACAACTGCTATAACCGAAGCTACTCTTCCACAAATAATACTACTCGATCGAGAAACTATACCGACAGGTGTGATTTCTATTGAGAATAGAATATTAAATTGCACGTTTTTTTATTTTATTTTATTTTATTTTATTTTGAGTTAATTTTGATGTTTGATTTGCTTAATGAACTAAATTGTTTTTTGTCTTTCTGTTTTAGCTGCTGTAGACGCCACTAGTACCGGTAAGGTTCAAAGACGATTTTCTTCAATTCTTTCTGTACTAACAATATAAATAGAAATGTTTTTCTATATCACTAAAAATTTCTTGCCTTTTTTTTGTTCTAAAATGTACACATATCTATCCTCTACATACATAGAAGCTGGAAATGCAGCCACTACTCAACAATCAACTGCTGGAGAAGCACAAGCAGCAACAACTGTGCTTGCCGATGGTGCAACTACATCCGTGCAAGCAGAAACTACGGCTGCACCTGCCGCTGATGGTACTACAACAGCTGGTGCTGCTGATACTACAGCAGGTCCTGCTGCTGGTGCTACAACTGCTGCTGATGCTACAACTGCTGCTGCTGCCGATGCTACAGCAGATGCTGATGCTACAACAGCGGCTGCTAATGCTGATGTTACAACAGGTGCTGATGTTACAACAGGTGCTGATGCTGATGCTACAACAGGTGCTG